TTTTTTTTTTTTTTTTTTTTTTTTAGCAAGACAGCGCTGCATTTCCCACAAGGATAGTGCCATAAAAAGCGGTTGTTTTTTAATGAGACATCGCTACGTGTCCTGCCGGGATAATGCCAGGAAAAGGCGTTGGGGAAGTTATTTTTTATTAAAATAATTATTTATTATTTATTTATATCAGATTAAATAATTATTTTTTATTAAGATAATTATTTAATCTGATATAATCTGTGGTATAAACATGTTTTACAAACTGCTGTGTCCGGACGTTCTGGATGACATTTCCCCTGTGAGGTGTCCACATACTTTTGGCCACACAGAGCAGAATCTGTAACATAAAGAGGAAGCAGAAAAACACCGACAGCTTTGGACATAAAGAATAAATGGAGGTGAGACTCCTCCGACACGTCTGGAGGTGAGGTGTGAAAATAATCAGGAGTGTTTCCTCCTCAGCTGACGGAGCAAGTGTTTGACCTGCGACCTGCCGCCGCCATCGCCGCCATCGCTGCCATCGCTGCCTGTTTGAGTCCATCTGACTGTTTCTCTTTGGTTTTGGCACTGTGTCACCTCAGGGTGCAGGTTACAGGATGAGGCAGTGCTTCTTCTTCTTCTTGCCGCTCGGCCCGTTCTTGTCTTTGCTCTCGGCCATCTTCTTCTTACGGACCTCCCTCATGAGGTCGAAGAACACCTGCGGGACAGGACAGGAAGAGGTGCCGTCAGGTGGTGAGGCTGTTTTTATCTTTTTTTATTTCTATTATTATTTTCTTAACAAATTTCTTCAGTTAATTTAAATCAATTATTAATTTTTTGGGCTGTTTTTATTTCTTTCAAAAATTTATTCAGCTTTTTAAAAAATAATAATTATTAGTATTATTAGTATTATTATTTTGGTGTAAATGCAGCCTCGGAAAAGAAAATGTGAAAGTAAAAATCAGTCATTTTTAAATCTTATTTTTGTCTCATGTAGCAGCTGATTTTATTCTGACATCTATTTGTCTACATTAGTTTTAAACACCTGTAGTTTCTTTAGACATCTGGACGCCATGTTACTGTCATTTTATGGCACAAACGTCCTTGTGTACCTTGTCCACGTTGGCTCTGGTCTTGGCCGAGGTCTCCACGTACTGGACCCCCCACTCGCCGGCCTTGGCCGTGGCCTCGTCAGCAGAGACCTGCCGCCGCTCCTCCAGGTCCGACTTGTTCCCCACCAGCAGCAGGGGGATGGCCTCCTCCTCCTTCACCCGCAGGATCTGCTCCCTGACGCACAGGTAACACACACACACACACACAGGGGAGTCATCTTTGTGTCCAAGTGGACGTTTGTGCCGAATTTGAAAACATTTTCTCAAGGTGTTCTTGAGAGATCGTGTTCATGAGAATGAGATGGATGTAAGGTCACAGTGACCTTGACCTTTGACCACCAGATTCTAATCAGTTCATCATCTGGTCCAAATCGACGTTTGTGCCAAATTTGAAAACATTTCCTCAAGGTGTATTTGAGATATTGTGTTCATGATAATGCAACATGCGGGGTCACAGCAACCTTTGACCACCAAAATCTGATCAGTTCATCTTAGTGTCCACATAGACGTTTGTGCCAAATTTGAAAAAAATCCCTCTAGGTGTTCTTGAGATATCACATTCACCAGAATGTGTCAGACAGGGTCATAGTGACCTTGACCTATGACCACCAAATTCTAATGAGTTCAATGTGTCTATGTGAACCTTTGTGCCAAATCTGAAAACATTTCAAGGTGTATTTGAGATATTGTGTTCATGAGAATGCAACGTGCGGGATCACAGTGACCTTTGACCAAAATCTGATCAGTTCATCTTAGTGTCCACATAGACGTTTGTGCTAAATTTGAAGAAACTCCCTTGAGGTGATCTTGAGATGTCACCTTCTCTAGTATGAGACAGACACAAGGTCACGATGACCTTTGACAGCCAATTCTACTCAGTTCATCCTTGACTCAAAGTGGATGTTTGTGCCAAATTTGAAAACATTCCTCAAGGTGTTGAGATATCACATTCACCAGAATGTGACAGACAGGGTCATAGTGACCTTGACCTATGACCACCAAATTCTAATGAGTTCATTGTTGTGTCCAAGTGAACCTTTGTGCCAAATTTGAAAACATTCCTCAATGCTTTCTTGAGATATTGCACTAATGAGAACTAGATGGATGTGAGGTCACAGAAACCTTGACCTTTGACTACCAAATTTTAAATCGTTCATCACCGAGTCCAAGAGGACATTTGTGCCATATTTCATGAAATTTTACTGTCACCGCTACTGGTGTTCTTGAGGTACTGTGTGGCAGACAAGGTCACAGTGACCTTGAACTTTGACATATGACCGCCAAAATCTTGTCAGTTTGTCCTTGCCTCAAAGTGGACGTTTGTGCCGAATTTGAGGAAATTCCCTCCACGTACTCATGTGATATCACGTTCATGAGAATGTGGCGCACAGACAGCCTGAGCACACACTGCGCCCTGACATGGCCGTCTCTGGCGCAGACACGTAACAAAATGGAGGCAGACCTGAACTCGGACGTGGCGGTGAAGGACTCGTGCTCCGTGATGGAGAACACCAACAGGAAACCTTCCCCGCTGCGGAAGTAGTTGTCTCTGATGGCGGCGTAGTCCTCCTGCCCGGCCGTGTCCAGGATGTCGATCTGAACGTCCTCGCCATCCAGGACCACCTTCTTTCTGTAGCTGTCGGCCTTGGTGGGCTCGTAGTCCTCCACTAACTGGGGACAGAGGTTTTGATGATGTCATAGGAAGCATAGGCAGTGAGGGCTGATGGGTAATGTAGTGTGGGAGTCTCACCTCGTCGTACATGAACTGCAGGGTAAGCGCTGACTTCCCCACGCCGCCGCTGCCCACCATGATCACCTTATGGAGGACCAGAGACGTCTGGTTCTTGTTCTTACCGGACGCCATGTCCCCGGTCTGTCTCAGTCCAGCGTCTCACAGCTCCGCCTGACTCCTGGGGGGACAGCAAAGACCAACAGGGAGCAGGTGAGACCAGCAGGGACAGACAGAGACCAGTAGACCAGCAGAGACCAGGAGAGACAGGCAGGGACCAAGAGAGACCAGAAAGGACCAGAGGAGACAGGCAGGGACCAAGAGAGACCAGAAAGGACCAGAGGAGACAGGCAGGGACCAAGAGAGACCAGAAAGGACCAGAGGAGACAGGTAGGGACCAGCAGAGACCAGAAACGACAAACAGAGACAGACAGGGACCGGGAGAGACCAGAAATGACCAGAGGAGACAGGCAGGGACCAGCAGAGACCAGAAATGACCAGAGGAGACAGGCAGGGACCAGGAGAGACCANGGGAGAGACCAGAAATGACCAGAGGAGACAGGCAGGGACCAGCAGAGACCAGAAATGACCAGAGGAGACAGGCAGGGACCAGGAGAGACCAAAAAGGACAAACAGAGACAGGCAGGGACCAAAAGAGACAGGCAGGGACCAGGAAAGACCAGAAAGGACCAGAAGAGACAGACAGGGACCAGAAGAGACCAGAAACAACAAACAGAGACAGGCAGGGACCAAGAGAGACCAGAAAGGACCAGAAGAAACAGGCAGGGACCAGAAGAGACCAGAAACGACAAACAGAGACAGGCAGGGACCAGGATAGACCAGAAAGGACCAGAGGAGACATGCAGGGACCAGGAGAGACCAGAAAGGACCAGAGGAGACAGGCAGGGACCAAGAGAGACCAGAAACGACAAACAGAGACAGGCAGGGACCAAAAGAGGCCGGAAACGACAAACAGAGACAGGCAGGGACCAGGAGAGACCAGAAAGAACCAGGAGAGACCAGAAAAGACCAGAGGACACAGGCAGGGACCAGGAGAGACCAGAAAGGACCAAAAGAGACAGGCAAGGACCCGGAGAGACCAGAAAGGACCAGAGGAGACAGGCAGGGACCAGGAAAGACCAGAAACGACAAACAGAGACAGGCAGGGACCAAGAGAGACCAGAAAAGACAAACAGAGACAGGCAGGGACCAGGAGAGACCAGAAAGGACCAGAGGAGACAGGCAGGGACCAGGAGAGACCA